TGTTCAACTGTCGCAGCACACTGGTTGGCTACACCATTATCCGCCAACAGCTCCGTAACACGAGTTGCTCTACGCTCTACACACAGTCAAGCATTTCAATCTATTTATGTGCCCAAAACCACCCAAACAGAAAGCGGGCCCCATTGTAGTTCTTGCGGTACAGAAACAGAGGGGCCATTCTAGCAAGCCATCTCCTGTACATGTCACAAACTTGCCAGCTGCCACCCCTCTTCTGCAACTGAAAGCAGAGGCAAAAAACAGATTCAAAGCTGTATATATATACGTAGAAGCACAGCTGGAAGGTCCTACTGGGACTTGAACCCAGGTCGGCGGATTCAGAGTCCGCAGTGCTAACCGCTACACCATAGAACCGCGAGGTGACCCCGCACCTGACCTGCACTGCCAAGCCAGCGATCTCCTTCAGAGTCAAGGGCTGCGCTTCAGACGGTCTGAAGCACAACCCTCCCATCTTACGTGTTTGACCCACGACTTCCTTGTGAGAGAAAAAAACATCGACGGGCTACAAACGTCCCTGAAACTGCTGTTCGATTTGGTTGACTAGCAGCCATTCGATGCAGTAGGGCTCTCAAGAGGCTGCTGCTGCTCCGCTCGGAACGCGTCGCAACACCAAGTGGCAAATGCACTACAGTGCAACACGAATGAGGTCGTGCCTAACGCACCGTCAAGCTTTTCAGTCCTGTAGGCAGAAGGCTGTCCCGGGGACAGCATAGCAGGCGTAAGTGAATGATGAGGCATGTCGTGAGCATGGCCAAACGATGCGAGAACACGCAGTGACGCATGTGTCTCCACCGCCTGCATCACAGTGTGACAGGAGACTTAGTTCGACATCGAAATACTCGCGAAACGCTGCTGTGACGCAGAACGTGGACGAACGAACACGCTCCAGCGTCGGGCTGGCGTCGCAGCTCGTCCCAGGTCCGCAGCATATTGCCATGAGCAGTTCGGCTAGAAACACAGTCGGAGAAACCACCTTAACGTGCGCAAAGCAAAAACGCACTGGCTTGCAACGCAGAGCAATTGGACCACCAGCACTTGTAAACCTGGTCGACCAACCAGTAAACAATGAGTCATGGACGACGCGAGGGAGTAATCATAGTGGCTGCTTCAATTGGCACCAGTAGCCTGCGTTGGTGAGGCTGCATTACGCACGTTGTTTCGCAGTCCGACGCGTTTCTGTACCCTCGATGCACAGAACGGGTGAGCGTGCACACACTACGGCTGACTGAAAGCTTCTGCGCAGGTGCTTAGGGGATGCCCTGGGCACCCACAACCCGAAAGCAAAACATTCCCTGAGTAATTGAGATTTTCGACGAACGACGTAGAGCGAGCTCCATTCTGTGGATGTAGAGGCGTCGCCTACAACGTCTACACCCCTAACGAGCTATGAGACTACATAACGCAAAAGCTGGTCTAGCTGGTCTAGCACTTCCTGATGCTCGTGTCTAACACTGGCTGCGTGTCTCCGCTTGACTTCAAAATGCGACAAAAGTTGTCAAATAGTGTATAATAAGAGCGTGCTTCAGGTCCCTCTGGCCTGCATCGCTGGCGGCGAACTTGACCCCATTCCTATGCGGTCTCTTTGGCCACGCACCGAGGCAGAATCGTAATCCAGGAATCGAAACTTCGCAGTGTCACATAGGCTTTGCGCGTTGATGCCATCCACGGGAAACGGCGCTTGAACTCCGCTGATCTGTTCAACTGTCGCAGCACACTGTTGGCTACACCATTATCCGCCAACAGCTCCGTAACACGAGTTGCTCTACGCTCTACACACAGTCAAGCATTTCAATCTATTTATGTGCCCAAAACCACCCAAACAGAAAGCGGGCCCCATTGTAGTTCTTGCGGTACAGAAACAGAGGTGCCATTCTAGCAAGCCATCTCCTGTACATGTCACAAACTTGCCAGCTGCCACCCCTCTTCTGCAACTGAAAGCAGAGGCAAAAAACAGATTCAAAGCTGTATATATATACGTAGAAGCACAGCTGGAAGGTCCTACTGGGACTTGAACCCAGGTCGGCGGATTCAGAGTCCGCAGTGCTAACCGCTACACCATAGAACCGCGAGGTGACCCCGCACCTGACCTGCACTGCCAAGCCAGCGATCTCCTTCAGAGTCAAGGGCTGCGCTTCAGACGGTCTGAAGCACAACCCTCCCATCTTACGTGTTTGACCCACGACTTCCTTGTGAGAGAAAAAAACATCGACGGGCTACAAACGTCCCTGAAACTGCTGTTCGATTTGGTTGACTAGCAGCCATTCGATGCAGTAGGGCTCTCAAGAGGCTGCTGCTGCTCCGCTCGGAACGCGTCGCAACACCAAGTGGCAAATGCACTACAGTGCAACACGAGATGAGGTCGTGCCTAACGCACCGTCAAGCTTTTCAGTCCTGTAGGCAGAAGGCTGTCCCGGGGACAGCATAGCAGGCGTAAGTGAATGATGAGGCATGTCGTGAGCATGGCCAAACGATGCGAGAACACGCAGTGACGCATGTGTCTCCCCCGCCTGCATCACAGTGTGACAGGAGACTTAGTTCGACATCGAAATACTCGCGAAACGCTGCTGTGACGCAGAACGTGGACGAACGAACACGCTCCAGCGTCGGGCTGGCGTCGCAGCTCGTCCCAGGTCCGCAGCATATTGCCATGAGCAGTTCGGCTAGAAACACAGTCGGAGAAACCACCTTAACGTGCGCAAAGCAAAAACGCACTGGCTTGCAACGCAGAGCAATTGGACCACCAGCACTTGTAAACCTGGTCGACCAACCAGTAAACAATGAGTCATGGACGACGCGAGGGAGTAATCATAGTGGCTGCTTCAATTGGCACCAGTAGCCTGCGTTGGTGAGGCTGCATTACGCACGTTGTTTCGCAGTCCGACGCGTTTCTGTACCCTCGATGCACAGAACGGGTGAGCGTGCACACACTACGGCTGACTGAAAGCTTCTGCGCAGGTGCTTAGGGGATGCCCTGGGCACCCACAACCCGAAAGCAAAACATTCCCTGAGTAATTGAGATTTTCGACGAACGACGTAGAGCGAGCTCCATTCTGTGGATGTAGAGGCGTCGCCTGCAACGTCTACACCCCTAACGAGCTATGAGACTACATAACGCAAAAGCTGGTCTAGCTGGTCTAGCACTTCCTGATGCTCGTGTCTAACACTGGCTGCGTGTCTCCGCTTGACTTCAAAATGCGACAAAAGTTGTCAAATAGTGTATAATAAGAGCGTGCTTCAGGTCCCTCTGGCCTGCATCGCTGGCGGCGAACTTGACCCCATTCCTATGCGGTCTCTTTGGCCACGCACCGAGGCAGAATCGTAATCCAGGAATCGAAACTTCGCAGTGTCACATAGGCTTTGCGCGTTGATGCCATCCACGGGAAACGGCGCTTGAACTCCGCTGATCTGTTCAACTGTCGCAGCACACTGTTGGCTACACCATTATCCGCCAACAGCTCCGTAACACGAGTTGCTCTACGCTCTACACACAGTCAAGCATTTCAATCTATTTATGTGCCCAAAACCACCCAAACAGAAAGCGGGCCCCATTGTAGTTCTTGCGGTACAGAAACAGAGGTGCCATTCTAGCAAGCCATCTCCTGTACATGTCACAAACTTGCCAGCTGCCACCCCTCTTCTGCAACTGAAAGCAGAGGCAAAAAACAGATTCAAAGCTGTATATATATACGTAGAAGCACAGCTGGAAGGTCCTACTGGGACTTGAACCCAGGTCGGCGGATTCAGAGTCCGCAGTGCTAACCGCTACACCATAGAACCGCGAGGTGACCCCGCACCTGACCTGCACTGCCAAGCCAGCGATCTCCTTCAGAGTCAAGGGCTGCGCTTCAGACGGTCTGAAGCACAACCCTCCCATCTTACGTGTTTGACCCACGACTTCCTTGTGAGAGACACAAATGCACACAGGCGAGCCGAAAATGTGAAGTGAGAGATATTGATGCACAGAGGAACACAAAGGAAAAAACTCGAAGTAAGGGCGGCAAAAGCGTGGATAGAGGCATGCATACAGTTGATTATTTACGTGCATACGG